GAAAGAGTAGGGAACAAACACTGTTTTCTCTGTTTAGAACGTTCATTCCCCTTCCCTCCATCTATTCCTATAGCAAACTCCTACTCATGGTTCAAAACCCAATCCAAACATCCCATTCCCTGGGAAGCCCTTTCCCAGCCTTCTCCCTCCACAGCCGCTGACATGAAACATCTCACTCCCTCTACTATACCATTCTCAAATATTGTGTGGCCCACCCAGTGACGGGGTCCTGGGGTTAGGGCTACCCAAGGAGTGCGGGGTAGAGGGGCAGGGGCCCACAGGGAGAGGTAAGGACAGATGTCTCTGCTGGAGGCCCAGGTTCCCCTTAACGGAGCTGGCTCTGTTTTTTTTGTTTGTTTGTTTTTCTTTTGGTCAATGCAATTTATATAACTTTAAAATTTTACCATAATTTCAAACTTACAGAAGTCGCAAAAGCAGAACAAAAAATTCCTACACCTTTACCCAAATTGTCTACTTATTAACATTTTGCCCCCTTTGCTTCATTACCAATGTAATTTTATAAACATGATAATGCAGAATAAAATGATTTCATAGCAATTATAATTAATAGTTTTTGAACCTCCTGGCTCCTCCCTCAGGCTCATTTTCCAGTCACTCACCAACCATATGGAGAACAGGCTGCCAGGCGTACCTTTTATTTGCACAGAAATGACCAAGAGCCAGGAATCCAAGCTCAGCAGCAGTGCAGGGGCACCTGAGAGGGGGACATGTGAGGGGCCAGGGCAGGGAGATGGAGCAGATTTGAACATCAGACCCCAAGGAAAGCAAAGGCAGGTTCAGTTTGTCTAGGCTACTGGTGTGGGGCTTCCCTGCCGCAGGGGGAGTCGGGGCAGGGCCACAGTGGTAGGTGGCAGGAGGCCCCACTGGTCAGCCTTTGGAAGTCCCTCCTGCCATCTGACCCAAGTTTGCACACTGCAACTCCATCCCAACTCTGGATCAGTCTTCTCAGGTTCCTGGGGGCTTGCGCCACGCCACCTACTGCCTCTTGGTCTCCCCTAAGGTTCTGGCCCAGTAACTCCCCTGGGACCACACAGCAAGCCTCCTGGCACAGGGCAGCTGGGGGCTGGGGGCTGGGGGCTGGGTCAGAGCAGTGTGATCTCGCTGGGGGGCAGCGTCAGCCGCTTCTCACGGGCACTGAGCAGGTTCTCCACGTGCACGGCCACCACGCGGCACAGCTCCAGGCCCTGCAGGAGAGACGGTGAGAGGTCCAACGCTTCCCAGCTCTCACCTGGGGTGAGACGTGGTCGGGAGAGGGGAGAGAGATGGAGGCCAGCCTCCGGCGGGACTAGCGGGCCCCACCCTCACCCCCACCTCCGCAGGGCCCCGGTGGCGCTTGAGCGGCTACGGGAGGCGGAGCGCCAGGCTGCAGGCGGGAGGGGCGCGCGGGGAGGAGGGAGAGCAGCACGCCTGCCAGCCGCGCTGCACGTGGCCTGTGTGACCGGGAGCCAGTTACTGCGCCTCTCTGAGCCTCAGTGGTCTCACCGCTGGGGGCTCGGTTTACCAGGGCCTGCCTCTCGGAGCCCGTGGGGAGGATGCTATGAGATTTTACTACATGTGAATCCTCTAGATTTGAAACCTATTATAGCCCCGTCGATAAATGGTTTCTAACCACGTGCTGCTGCCGTGGTTACCACCTGGCGCCCACAGCCTAGAATGAGCTGTGACCCAGCCTCAGGGCTCCCACCTGCTGGGGGCGAGACGGGCAGCGGGGACTGTGGAAAATTGGTCTCTCAGACCACAGCCAGTGCCGGAATCTCCCCAGGCGCTTCCTGGGGGCTGGGAAGCTGCTCAGAGGGAGGGTAAAAACAAGGAGGACAGCACTTATTGGGTGGCCGACTGAGGGCCGGGCACTGTCCCAAGAGCCCCCCATGTCCCACCCCTCCCAGTCCCTGCAGTGTCCCTGTGAGTCAGACATTCTTAGAGCCCATTTCACAGGTGAGGAAACTGAGGGCAGAACCCTGAAGCCAGTTGCCCCAGACCTCACAACTGGGGATGGTGGGACTTGAACCCAAGGCCACACCCTGGGGGCCCCCTCGGCTAATGAGATCAGAGCGGGCTCCTCCCCACCCGCCATCCTCCCACCCACATGCTGCAGCACTCCAGGCCTCACTGGGAATGCTGCCCCACTTGGCAGGTGTGGAAACTGGGGCTCCATAAGAAGGCCGGGTTGCTTCCAGATGCCCTCACACAGCCTGTCAGAGGTAGGCGGGATCACTACTGCACTCAGACATCACCTGCTCCTGGAAGCCCTCACTGATTACCTCCTGGATAGCACGGGTACACCCTCCCCGCACTGATCATGGTTTATTAGAGAGGCTTTGATGTCTGTCACACCCCTGAGACCTGGGGCTCTGTGGGGGCCAGGGCTGGAGGGTCTGCTCAGTATCTCTGCAGCTAAGTGCAGAACCTGCTGCGTAGACATGCTCACTGGTTATACATTGAAAGAATGAAGGATTAATTAATAAATGTGTCCGCTACACATGCATGACAGAGGCAGGGCAGAGGTGGTAACACAAAGAGGTCACAGGTGGGGAGGGCGCCGGGAGCAAGCGGAGAAGCCGGAGAGGCCTCCTCCTCCACCCACTCAATTCCTGAACACCCGCTACAGCCGGGCTGTGCTAGGGACACCGTGGGGACAAGCTGGACACAGCCCTGCCCTGCCCCGCCCTCTCGGGGCTGACATTCTAGTGGGGAGACAGACAATCTCAGAACAAATAACTAAGTGATTTCCAAGCCACATGAGGGCTACTGAGGCAGAGAGAGTGAACTATCGGGGAGGAGGGTCAGGGTAGGCTTCTAGAAGGAGGGGATGTTTGTGCTGAAACCGGAACAAAGGGAGGGAGGGAGCCCCGTGACGCAGGCAAGCGAGTCCTAGGTAGAGGGGACAGCGAGTACAGGGGGTCTGGGGCGGGGAGGGGGGCAGGTAAGCAGAGGGGAGGGATGACAGCGGAGGCCACGGAGGTAATCAGAGGAGGGGGCGGGGACGGGGGCGGGAAGGGCTGCTGGGTTGGCGGCCCAAGGGCCTGCAAGGGTGAGAGGTGAGGGCAGAGGCCTGTTGGTCTCCAAGGGCAATGCTGAGGGGGTCAGGGCAGGAGAGAGAAATAAGGGTCTGTCTCAGCAGAGCTGGCTTTGGAAGCCTCAGGGTCAGAGGGGTGCCGGGAAGCACACTGATCCCCAGTCGCAGGCTCCCCAGGAGCCTGGGGTGGGGGGCTCCTCCTTTAGAGGCAGGGCTGGGGCAGTGGGAGCCCCTGTCTCGTGCCCTGGGATAGCAGCCCCACCAAGGCAGGCCGTGCCGTGAGAAGTGGTCCTGGGCCCACAACCTGAGTAGGTGCAGTGGGCCCAGACGTGTGGGCCCGGCCCCGATTCTACCCCTTCTCTGGACCTCAGTCCCCTCTCTCCAGTGGGCTGAGAACTCTGGTCCTGCCCCATCCCCGGGCACCGCGAGACTTGGACTTGACTGACCTAGAGGTCAGCCACAGCTTTCAAGGAGCCGCCACAGTTGCTGCAAATAGGGGAAGGTCCTGGGCAGCTGGGCCTTGGCCTCCCTGTCACATGGGAGCCCCACTCTCCACCCCTCAACCTCAACAATCCATCCTCTGAGCCTCAGCCCAGGTGAACGTCCTCAAACTGCCTGGGTCCTGCCCTCCCACCAACCTTCTATGGCTCCCAAGTGCCCTCAGAAGGAAGCCCCAGATTCTTAATTTATATTCAAGGACCCTTAAGACCTGCCCTTCCCTGGCTATGTCTCCCCAGTTCCCCATCAAACTCCTCACTATTCTAAAAACAACCTGGGCCCGCCCTTTCCCATGATCCCACCATCAAGATGCGTCTCTGGTCGACCACCCTCATGACCCACAGTTCTGTGAGGTGTTGGGTTAGCTCTGTCCCCTGCACTGGGCTGGATGTTCCCTGGGACACGGCTAGGACCTGACCCATCTTGGAGCCAGTCCCAGAGAAAAGCCTGGCGAGCGGAATGAGGGAGTGGGGGGCCAGGTGACAAGCCGGGCTGCCAGGCGGGGCCCACCTGATCCAGCTGCAGCTGCATGGTGCGCTGGGCCGCCACATCGCCCAGTGCGATCTCCACGTACGGGTAGCTGGAGCTGGCCGTGGGCCGCTGGGTCCTCGTCGACTGGATCTCCTTCAGGGAGAACTTCACCATCAGCTCCTGGAGGAAATGGGGGCAGACAGGCTTGGGGGTGCGACAGTCTCACCCAGCCTTACCCCAGCCCTGGAGGTCAGATCCGCAGGTGGCGTGACAGCTCAGCTCGGTTCGAGTACAAGTTCCCCAGTGACTTGCTGTGTGACCCGGAGCAAGCTACTTTACCTCTCTGGACCTCAGTTTCTCACCTGTGAAATTATTTCAACAAATACTGATGCACGCATGTGCGGCGTGCCAGGCACTGCTCTAAATGCTTGCGATCTAGGGATGCAGGGAATGCCTTCACATCAAGGCTGCTCCTTCACACCCGCCCCTCTTGGTCTGGAGCTTTCTTGCCGGCCCCAGGAGCAAAAGCAGAGCTTCCCCACACAGGGGAAGCCAGAGTGATGAGAGTCAGCCCCCCATCATGCACAACAGGCCACAGCAGACAGACAACCCAGCTCCCCGACCCGCATGATGGGGGGCATCCTCTGAGGGCCGTGTTCCCCCGCTGGACCGAGCGCCAGTCCCCACAGCAGGAACCTGCTTGCTAACACGCCCCTCCCCAGGTGTAACCCCCAGGGTACGACCCTCCTCCTGGTCTCAGACCCTCCTCCTGGTCTCACTTCCTCGCTCCAGTGTTTCCACGTAAGCTACTTGCCCTGGAGCCCTCATCTCAGGGCCCACTCCCGGGGGAAGAACTAAGAATAGGGGTAGCAGATCCTTTTTGTCCTGGACTGAATTGTGTCCCTCAAATCCATATGCTGAAGCCCTGACCCAGCACCCCAGAATCTGGAGACAGACCTTTGAAGAGGGAAGGTTAGGGTGGGCTCCCATCCCACGGGACCACTGTCCTTATGCGAAGAGGAAATTGGGACACACAGACCCCAGGGATGTGCACAGAGAAAGGGCCATGTGAGGAAACGGGCAGGACGGCCATCTACAAGCAAGGAGAGAGGCCTAAGAGGAAACCAACCCTGCGGGCACCTTGACCTTAGATGTCCACCGTCCAGAACCGCCAGGAAAACAGTTGCTGTTGCTGAAGCCCCGCCAGCCCCGCCCCGTCAGCCCCAGCCGACCAACACAGGCTTTGAGCGTTGGCCTGTGTTTCACCTCCTTTCACCTTGACAACAGCCCCGCATCCCAGGTGAGGCAGTGAGGCTCGGACAGGCAAGGAGCCTCGCCCAAGGTCACGCAGCTGTGAGCAGCGGAGCTGGCCTTCCCATCCCCTGGGGGGCGGGGCGGGGCGGGGCTGAGGCCACTCACGTGGGTCTCGGTGCTAAGGAAGTTAAGGCCATTCTGGTTGACCGCAAGGATGCAGGGGGCGGGCACCGCGCCGTTGCTGCAGCTCTGGACGACGAAGAAGGAGGAGCCGAACAAGGGCGAGGCGCTGAGGAGGCCTGGGGCGGGGGAGGGGCGGGCAGGTCACGCGGGCGCCGCAGTGCCGCCCCCCC